TATTTTGCCTCCAAAGCACATGAAGAATTCCTGGTGACTTGGGAGGGCGTCACCCCTGTCCAACACAAGAGAGACGACAGGAAAAGATTTAGTCACCTCGCTCCTTCATAAATTTGCAAAAATGTTTCAATTTTTTCCTGGAAAATCTTAGAACTTCTCTGAATTCTCCCTTTCTCAAACTCCTTCCCCCCCAGAAACACCCTGAAGACCTGACCTTCCTGCTATTTCTCACCCGGATTAGCAGCCTGTGGCCTCACTGATTTCTGTGGGGTCATTTATTGTGTCAGGTCCTACTCATTGGGCACATCCCCACACGTGCTTGTGTGTAGTCTGCGGTGCTGCAAACCCATCTGCAGTACTGCGAACCGCATGTGCCTCACCAGGCACACATTCGCCATGCTGCTAATTAGCAGTGTGGTGGGGTTTTTTGATATTGGGAGATCCTGGCGTCAAAAAAAAAAGTTGCAAAAAAAAAAAAAAGCGGCGTGGCCAATGTGGCAGCAGTGTGCGCTGCCTGAAACTGGAGCCTGGGTGGCCAGAGCCACACTCCAGCAGCCGGGCAGGCTGTGTGCGCCTGGATGGCTGCTGCTGCAGCCCTGGGAGGTCTCCAGGACACAAGGTAAGGCCAGGTGCTGGCCCCAGCCTCCCCTACCCCACCCAGAGCAATTTGCCATGTGCCAGAGCACGCATGCAGGGGTGTGTCCAGAAGTGGAACAGATATGTGCCACTGCTAGTTGTCCCTGGGGAAATGCATGTGCACACTCATGGGGACGTGCCTATTATGAGCAAGGGTGGGAGAATTTTGTCCTGGCTCCACTTGCAGATTCTACAGCAGATTCTTTGCCAATGATGCTACTTGGTTTATCTCTAAAGATAAAAAAAGATCACAAATATCTACTCAGGAGTTGGATTCCCCCTCCCCTGCCCTCAAAGATTACAAATTAATTCACAAGTCAGTGTCATTTACTTGTACCTTGTGGAGTGAGGGTCTCAATTTTAGCAAGACAAAGAATTTCACCCTAAGGCTTCCTAACTCACTAGGTATCTCTTTCCTTACCTTACTACCCTCATCAGTCTCCTTTTCCTCTGAATCTGCACCTAAGGTTTGGCTCTACTCCATGTATCCCAGTGTAAATGGTTATTGTTCAGTAGTGTTACATAGGTCATTTGAAGTGGATTCAAAATAAATCCCCTTGATTATCTTGCCCAATGGAACCCACACTTTCACAGTACTGGATAAAGTCTCCTGCAAGCGTTGAGTTCTGTTGATCTAAATGGGTGGTGTTCCCACTGTCACTGAAATCTACAGTGCGGACCAGAAAGTGAGATTTTACCACCATAACTAAATATTAGTAATGAGTTTGCCCATCTTAAATCTAATGACACAATACGGTCCACAGTATGCAGGCCTAGGTGCTGATTCATGAAAGAATTTAACATAGATTTATAATATTTACAGTCAAAATGGGCAATTATGCTCTGAATTCCACCCAATAAATATATGTCTGTGTCCCATTGAACTTAATGGGATTTAAACACATGCTTGAAGCTGAGAACATCCTTCATTTCTTTCTAGAATCACAACCCAAGTGATCCGGGAGTTTGCTCACCAAAAGAAAGAGATGACAAAATTTCTGATCTGAGTCCGAGCTGTAGCCCTGAAAAGCCAGTGTATGTGGATTATTGTTGGGACTGCAAAGCACAGAAATGGAAGAACTTTGATAAATCTAAGCTTGTCCCCAAACCTGCTGTTACTAAAGTTCTTCCTGTTTTTTTCATTTATGCCAGCTTTAAAATGTGCTTATGGCCTGATCCAACATTGTTCAAACTGTGTTCAATGGACACCCAGGTTCTGCAATACATCATCAGGGTTCTGCAAAGAGACTGGAGGTTATGGCAGAGTGGGCCAGGAGGCATTGCACCATCATTTCCATGTTGGGCTGCCTGTGTTGCATTAGCTTACATAGCATGCAGATTCAGGGGAAGGGATTCCACGGCAGAAATGATATGAAAGGGTTCTGTAACTTTATGAAGTTTTAAAACCACTGACCCAATCCATTCAGAGAAGTCTGTTTGTCTGTCTGTCATCAAATCTATTGCCTTTTTAATGCATTCAACATCACAGAGTGCAGATGCTCTACATATCCATTAATAAATGCTGAGGTGGCTACTCTCCCTGAGCTGTGCATATGTACATTATTTTCTTAATCCTGGTGGTTTTTCTCCAGGAGAAGGGTCTTTGGCCACTTCTGTATTCACTGATTATTGAGGAGAGGCCCTCACAGAAGTGCAGATGGAAAGACTTGGTCACGGCCATGTCCTGATGTCCCATAACTGAAACCACCAAACCTCAATCACTAGGAGCCTTACCTGCCTCTCTGTTTATTTCCATCCCCTCCCCCCCAATACACACTGACCTCCTAGATCAGGAAGGGATCTGCTGTGTATTCTTAAATACTCTTGCTTTTGGATCTGCTTTTACCTCTCTGTGTACCATTTTTACAAATCCCTCAAAAGCATAGCCTCTGCCCCATGTTGATTGCAGAGAAATCTTTGGTGGTTTGAAAAAGCAGTGTCACACAAAGAATCGTGGAATCCTAGGTTTGTCAGGAGCTTTCTGGGACACTAGTCTGGCCCCAATGGTGAAGATGCTCTGCATGTGACCACTTAAAAGGGATGTTACAATTACTCCCCATGTGCTAGAAATCAATTCTATCAATGTTAAAACAATAACCGCCAACTTCCCACATGCACAATAAGGCACAAAATACAAAACTCCCCCCAAACAAACAAAATGCATTCTAAGCTTAAGACAGCAGCCCAGCTCACTAGTTCCTATTGAGGCCTATAGTATGCTGACATGAATCACCTTGACCTATGCACATCCTTACAACTATCTACTACAGACAGAGAGGCAAATCCATACCTGGATTTTTTTTAATTGAACGGGAAGCATTAGCTCAGGGCTATTGGTTTTGTTGGTATTCCCCCGCACAGGGCAGTCAATATTATTCATGCATTTGGACCATGAAGTCTGGGTCTGGATGTCATCTTCTTCAAAGAATGGGAACAGTAGCACAATAAGGCAGTCAACTGGGGAACCAGCGGTGGGTGCCCACTTAGAGGGCGCTCAAGAGCAGCCCCTGCACTGCCTGCCCAACTGTCACCACTGCAGCAGCTGGCCCAACCCCTGCTGCCACCCCTGCCACCCAGACTGCAGACCCTAGTAGTTACACCACAGCATGGGAGGAAGGAGATACTTCAGGTAGAGATGGGCCGGAACAAACCCCTCTATTCAAAATATTCATGAGGCCAGTTCAGAGACCCACACCCCCTTCTTGAGCAACAGGCTGTATAATGCACGTCTCTAAAAGTAACAAGGATTTTTTCTGTCCCTAGGCTACATGACAACTATTCTAGAGAAAAACTGTATAACTCATTTTGCTTTTTAGTGCCTTCACTGGAAAATCTGGGGAAAAATAATTTCAGGGTGATCTGAAAGGAAACAAAATTGTAAAAAAATTGCTTCAAGTGGAATCAACTTTCTGGGGTTTTTGAGGGTTTTTTTTGTTTTTTTTTTTTACTTTATAAAATAAAAATTCAATCTAGCTAAATTTTATAATCAAAGTTTGCTTTCATGATAACAAGTTAAAATGATTCATTCTGAAAATGCTGAGATGCAACATTTTCTCTCCAAAGTTTCACCCACATTTTTTTCCCTGAATCAAAGCTATTCAATACATTTGCAAACATTTTGAGTTGCCCCAGAATTGCGCTTTTGGCAACTAAACTATTTGTCTGAATAACTGCAAACATCCCTGTATCAGAGAGGTAATTTCTGCTCTGAAACAAAACCCAAGATGTAACTGATGGTGGGCAGAGGACTAGAGTATGTGTACAGTTTCAGTTGCTTTAATCCTTTATGACCCCTACCCCACTCCTGAGCATTGATAACCTTTATGGAGTGGGGCTGAGTAATACCTTGTGTAGCCCCTCCATAAACTAACCTCTGGGGCCTTGTTTACTAAAACTGTGTGGGGTCAACTGCCTGCCTGCATTCTGCCCCCTTGGCAATGGGGACTAATTTGACCCCAAAATGCAAGGTCCCTGGAATTATAAATATTAACCTTTTTTAATATACCCAATTTTTATTTTTAAAAAACACAAATCAAAAGGAGTATATTGATGGGGATCAGGTGTTAAGCTTGGGGTAACTTTCCTCATAAAATCTATTATTACATTGATGTATATGGCACCAAAATGTACCACTTTGTGTTTGGCAGTGTTATGGGCCTTCACATCCTATAAATCTATAAATTGAATTCATCCTGGTTACACCCATAAATTGCTAGGCAAAGAACAGCTAATGGAACAGCTGGTAATTTATTTTTAAAAGATGCATAGTGCTGCTTTTTGGCAATGCTAGGGAGCCTGGGTACAGTGTGTTCCCATCTCAATGCATGTGCCCCAGGAAATGGGGAATGACTGTGTATACTCCCACACACTTATATTCAGGTAATGTAATTCCTTAAAGAGGTCCTACCACTCAGAAAGAGATTTCTGGCTATGTGCAGAGACATACTGCAAAGCCAAACACATAGAAAGAGTGGATGGTGATAGTGATAGTGATAGTGCCAGGTAATGTATAATACAAAAGAACATGTATTGTATAGCAAATTTATCGGTACAAATTTGACTCTAAAAAAAATGCACACAAAGTAACTCTAAATGGCCAAACCCTGTTGCTGTACACCTGTGAGGAAACCCATTGACTTTAGTAGGACTAGTGGTATGATTTTGACCCAAATTCACGAAAAATATGCAGTTAAAAATCCCATGTTACACCCGCTCCTCACATGCCTCATCAAAATCAGTGGCATTACTCTTATATATAAAGGTAGGACTTGGCCTTTTCTAGGAGTTTTCCTATTCACTCAAGTGAGAACCATTAAGTTGAAAAATCCACTATTGTTCTTAACTTATTGAATACAGTAGCTTACCTTTTAGAGAAGCAACATGGGATAAAGCCTGAGCATAGGTGGCTGTGTTGAGAAGAGTCCCAGGGAGACATGAAGGGAAGAAAGGCCCCGTTGGGCCAACTGCTCGGCTCAGACTGACAGAGAAGAGAAAGCAACTTAGAAGACTCAAATAACTTACGGTGGGGGTGATGTGTGTGCAGTTCCAGAACTAAGAGGGAGGGAGTGGAGAACCAGCCCCAGGCCCCAACTTAGGGGGAGTGTCACAGTAGCAGCCACTCAGTGGTGGCCCCTACCCAGGGTGCAAAACGGCCAAACTATGCCTCTGCACAAGATGATCAAGACATGCATTACTCTTACCTTTGCTGAATTTCCAGACTCTCTTTCTTATTCCTGGCTTGATCAACTGGAGAGGGGGAACTGAGGTTCCGAACAGGGGGTGCCACCTCCGTCATTGTTTCCTTTGATCCTTCTTGATCTGAAGCGCCTCGCTCTGTTTTCCTCCATTTAGCCCTTCGATTCTGGAACCAGACCTAAAGTAGGAAGAGGAATCAATGTTGAATGTCTTGTTTAACTGAATACAAAGCAATAAAGCTGTCCGTGAATTATTATTTCAGTAGAGTCAGTTGTTTTGAAGCTTTTCTAAAACTTTTGCTTTATCTTTCTGGAACAATTACATTTTTAATAATATAGTAACATAGTCCATGTGTTACTTTTGTCATGAAAAACCAACCTGTCTAAAGGCAGCAAAAAACAATATTTTTGTAAAGTATTTTTCTTCAGTATTGAGCTCCCAGTTCAACAACATATTTTACATAGAATCTAAGGACATGCTTAACATTAAGCAGCTGCTTGAGTCCTATAGTTTTTTATGGGACCTAAGTGCATGCTTAACTTTATGTGCCTAAGTACTTAAACACAGGTATGGACTTAAGTACAAGTGTAAGTACTGTGTGCTATATCCTGACCTAATTCCTAATATAAAGTACAATTAGAATCACAGAAGTTAGAAAGAAAAAAAACTCTGATAGGTCATTTTGTCCAACCAGTTTGCAGTGTAGGGCATAGGCTCTGACTTTTATTTTTGCTGAGGGGAGCTAAGATGATAAACATGTGAAAAGTTTTACACATTTCAGATGACAACCCTCTTCCTAAGCGGGGCCGGGGCCTTCGGGCCCCCACTTACTTAGCACCCCTGGTGTAGGATTCTTGCTTACAGCTTAGTCTTTGGCAAAAAATGTCCAATCTACATTTAAATCTCTCACGGGAGGAGAAATTATCCTTGTAGAATATTATTTCACAAGCTAATTGATTTCACTATTGGAAACTTTTTCCTGATATTCTGCCTAAATACTCATGTTCTTAATTTTATCCCATTGCTCTTATTTCCAACCCCCTATTTCTTCTTCCTTGCTCTTTATATCCTTGAAATATTTCTTCAGCTTGAAAATGCTGCACCCCTCTTGATCTATGAGACAGTAAATACACATTTTAATATATGATTAGAGAATTGCCAGGATCGTTATTATTATTATTCTCCTCCTACAACTCCATTTTTAGTTAGCTGGCTTTTAATTGCATGTATCAGCAAATGTTGAATAATGATTTTATCTATATTCTAAATTTAGGGCAGTTAAATGCAAAGCAAAATGCAGACACTTTCTTGTGTCTTAATTGAATGAAGGTCACAGCTATAACAACATTTAATTGAGCTATTTTTCATTATCATATTTTAATGACTTTGCACTGACAGTTCGCCTGCTTCTGAGGAAAGAGCATGATGAAGTCGTTTATTTCCCTATTTAGTTATTGTTTGACAACATCATCTTCGATTAAGACTCTGCTTTATAGCACATTAATCATATTTGAATGAGCAAGGGGTATAAAAGTAAACATAGCTCCCATTCTCTGTGTTTCCTCATGTCCCTGCATGAAAGCAGACTAAACAAATGCTTGCATCCATTGTCTGTTTGCATAATAGCCAACAACAAGGCTAAACACCAGTCCTCAGCAATCTAATTGTCACCACCCCTATCTCACCCTTGCACCTTTCAGGGAGAAGTTATGATCTTCCACTTCTGAATGCTCAATAATTGTCCCATTTATCTCAATTTGCAGTTCAGTCTTTAGACACCAAAATGGTATTTTTTTAAAGCCAGCACCTACAATGCACTAGCAAAAGAAGATTTTCATTTCCAAATAATAATCAGTTTAATTTGCCCGCATATGACCAATGGTTCATGTTCAGATTTAATAATCAGGATCGCATAATCTGATTATAGGAGAAATAATTTGTTTACAATCCCAATTTACTACAGTGAATTCCATTATCTCTCTTCAGCCATTGGGTTTTAAGAGATACTAACATGACCCTAGGGAATAGAATGCAAGCTATTATATTTCCTACAATTAGATCTTTGCATAGTCTTAACCCGGAGCACCTACATAAAAAAATACAGAAACAGCGAACAGAAAAGGCCCATAAATAAAATGAATACATAATTGTGCTCAAAGAATAGCTTGCAAATCAGTGGTGGGAGCCTGCAGAGCTGTATGGGTCCTGCAGGACTGGTGTTCTCAGCATAGTTTAGAGACACTCACATTAAGTTCATCTATGGGCATCGAGAAACAACACCTTTAAAAAAGTTCATACTAGTTATGGCATCCAATTAAAGATGTCTGAACGGTAATGCAAGCTTTTTGTCCACCGAAATGAGGCATTTGAAAAGAAGAGGAAGAGGAAAAAAGTTGATGTGGTGCAAAGAGGACTTCTGTCCCAGCAGTGCGGCTCCTTGCAATTGACTCACCCCCTTGCTTGATAGTGGTCATAGCTGCCTTGGAGAATCACGTCTCAGCTCTTTTTTTTTTTCCTTCCAAAGCAAGGAAATGGATGTGCATTGATGTAATTTAGTACCTTAGAGACGCGGACAAATTAGTGTAGAACATTATCACTAGTTAATTATGAATGACCGATTAATCAACCTAATCTAATATTCCACATTATGTTGATGTTATTAAAGTGCATCATGAAAATGACAGATCGTCTTCATTTGCTTTCTTTGGCCAAATGTGCACTCTGCAGTCATGATGTCAAAAAAAATAAAAGTTTGCCAGTTGTAATATTAGAGTTAAATAATTCACCAACATGTTTACCTGCACCCTGGCTTCTGTGAGGTTGATTTTCATGGCCAGCTCTTCTCTAGTGAACACATCGGGGTAGTGGGTTTGAGCAAAAACTGCCTCCAGTGCTTCTAGCTGGTTGAGGACAAGAGCAAATCTCTCTCAGGACGAGGTTAAGAGTTTCGGTTTAGCTCCTTGGGCTTCCCCCTGGTAGGAAGAGGAAGCTCCGCATCCTGTTCCCGCCCCCAGCCCTCACACCCTTCCCGGCCACAGCATCGGGAGGGGCTCGCAGAGGTGGCGCGGGGAGACCCAGCCAAGCCCGTGCTGCGGTGCGCGGGGACCCGAGCAAGGCCAGGGGCTGCGGGGCGGGGGTGCGGCCGGGCGGGAGCAGGAGGCGCCGGTACCTGCTGCAGGGTGAAAGTGGTCCTGTTCCTGCGCTGCTTTCGGCGGAGGAAGCCATCGTCGAAGTCGCCCGTGGAGTGGCCTCCGAAGGGGGCAGTGCCTGCGGGGACCAGGGGCAGGCGCGTTACGGGGGGGCCGCGGCTCCGGGCTCTGGAGGGCGCCCACGCGGCCCCGCTCCAGCCCGCGCCCGGCACCGGGGGGCTCTGCCCCGCGGGCAGGACCGCGCGCGCCTGCAGACACGGCTCCGGCTGGGCTCCCCAGTCCGCCGGGCCCTGCAAGCTCGGAGAGCGCCCGCACCGGAGCCTGGTGCTGCCAGCCCGGCGCTAAGCAAAGGTGTGACGGCAGAGCGGGCTGCTGTGGCCTGGCCATGGGGAGCACAGAAGTACTGACTCCTTCCTCTTTCCTGGGAAGGACGGAGACCGACCTACCTGCCTGCAGTTTGTCAAGGGGACAGAAATTGCTGGCGCGTGATTTAGGGCACTCACCTAGGTAGGACGTTTGCCACTGCACTGCTTTTACCAGCTCTCCCCAAGCACCAGTTTCCTTAGGAGCAATTATGAGGTGTGCAAACGCTACCAAACGCGTGGTAGTGAACTGAAAAGTCCTTCCCGCTCCACCTGCCACGCGTGGCATTTTCCACTTCTCGAATATAATCAGAAGCCAAAGTTTTTAGTAGGCTCTGAACTTTTCACCGGGTAGAGCACAGGGGGGTTTCTGTGATGCGGGGACGTGTCTTTGGAAAAGATGAAACGCTTGCATGCACGCTCGCGGGCTCGAAACAATTTTCCGCCCACCGATATGTGAAAAGTAAGATAAAAGATGAACCGACTGCAGATTTGCCTTGTAAAAATGCATCTGCGAGGTTTTCTTTGTTTTTACAAAAGTATACCAGCAATTGAAAAGCCGCACATCTTGCATCCTCTTCTTTTCAAACAGTTTTATACGCGACTTCAGCACGCCTGTATCTACACCTCCAGGTAACAGCTGAGCGAATATTCTGATATTTGCCCTGGTTCCCTTTCACCCTGCAAGCGAGATGCCGCACTGCTGGTCCTGGAAATAGGATTATGTGTTTGTACAGTGCCTGGCACGCTGGGCAGGCACGATCCACGTCTGGAAGTCCCTCCCTGTCCCCACTCCAAGTAAAAATTAGTGAAAAAAAATCCCAGCGGTTTAAAAACTACAGGCACTCTGAAAGCGCTTGAAGAAAAAGTGGCCCCTTTCCCCTCCTGGCTGCAGGACGCCGGTCTCAGGGCAGCATCCCCCTCGGCCTGCCCTGGGAGCGCAGGGAAGCGACGATGCTGCACCGCCCCCCCCCTGCCTTGGACCTGAGCCGGGGACGCGCGGAGGAGACGGGGCAGTGGAGGACGTTGCCTTTGACCAGGTCTAGATTAAAGCTACATCAGGTGCCTTAACTTTGAATATACTCTTTCGGCTTTACGGCCCCGGAACTAGCATCATGTCCTGCCAGTGGCAAAAAAGGGAAATAAACAGGAGTTAGTTGTTCAGATATCCCATGTCCTAAGTGGGGGTACGCCGTGATTAATGCTCACCTGCGGTACACCCGAGAGACCTCGGCCCAGGACTCCTACACAGCTTTGAAAATACTCGAGCTGAGTGCCCGGGCGTGGGGCACGATAAAGCACACGCGGTTTCCTGTAGGTTGCATACCCGGATTTGACGCGCACTCGGGGCTCCCTGCTCTGTATGATGTGGCACAAGTATTAATTGCTAAGGAGCTGTAATCGCCCTGGGCAATTGTCATGGGCATGCAGATTTATTTGTTTATTTGTTTATTTATTTATTTTTGGCAGCGGGGGCAGGCATGTGGCTTTATTCTGAAAATAAGAATAAGTGCGTCTTTATATATTTGCAGAAAGTGGGTAGTGACCCTCTGGGGATGCCCTGAGAGAGACTCTGCTGGGAACATAAAATAAAAACCCAGCGGATCGGATTAATAAACTGGGGCGTCATGTCAGATCCCTACTGAACAGAGTGTCTGTTTCTAATAGCTATTGAGGGAAGTTTTTCTTTTTTCTTTCTTTTTTTTTTTTTTTACTTTGCGGGCCCGAGATGCGTATGGATTTCCTCCTTCCAGACCTCAGCCCCGTTGCTCCTCGCCCTGCCCTCCGGAGTTACTCAGTAATCGATGATCATTCTTATTTTTTGCAACCCGCCTGCTCGGGTGCCGGGCCCTGGAGCAGCCTTCCCAACTTTGGAGAACTATTGCTGCCCGTCTCACGCTTCCTGCCAGCTAGGTCAGGGCGAGTGCGTGGGGCTCTGAGGTCTGCAATGGAAAGGCTGGAGCAGCTTTCAACGCAGGGCCCTGAGGCTCCGCACGAGCCCCGGTGTCAAACCTTTGGCTTCTTGATCCGCAGTGAAAACAACTTCCAGCAGGTAAGCGGCGCTTTCAAGCAAGGCGCTTGCCGGGTGGACTGCGGGCACATCTCTCTTTGTGATCACTGCGTTTTTGAAAGGCGATGGGTGAGTGCAGCGCGTTTGCTCGTGAAGAAGAAAGCGCACGAACAGGAACTGGAGGTCTGGAAAACGCCCTGCCATTGAAGTGCATGTCACGGTTCGGGTACAAAGCCGGGCTCAGCCAGAGGCACGGGCGGTCCCAGCCGAGGCGCCGAGAGGAGGCCTGGCCTGTCCGCTACCATCGGACATCTAGTGGAGGCCGGGTCTCTAACTAGTTGTAAGGAAATGAATCCCCTGCGCTGGGTGGAAATGTGGCAGCTGTTCGGGGACTTCTGCACTTGTTATTTAACCGCAGTGAACACGTACACACGCAGCACAAAGAAAGTAAACCCCGCTCGGGTTTTCGCGTCTTGAAATTCACTTTAAATGAGTCCAGTGCCCCTCCGCAAGCCCTGATCAGACCTCTTAGCCCCGGCAGCGCTGAATGAGTAAATCCAGGTGGATTTACAGTGGAAAGGCAATGGCTATAAAAAAGAAAATAAGTGCCCCCCCCACGCCCTCTCCTTTCTAATCATGCCGCAGAATGTTTGTAAAACAGCATTAAAGATTTATGCAGCCCCTTGCTGGAGGGGGGAGGCGTGGCCGCGGCCTGAAAGTGTCCCGATTATAGCCATGACACCAACATCTGTGCTGGGAGGGAAAGAAAGCATTTCCTGCCTAGCCTGGGGCTGATCTGTGGGCTCTCTATCCACAGAGGGGAGGCAGGTGGCAAAATGTCACTGGGAAAAAACACAACCAAGGCACTTCCAACGCAAATCAAATTAAAGAGAGAGACACAGAGAGAGAGGAGCTAACCCCTGCCCTTCCTTCTCTCCCGCCATCCTGTGACAGGAGGAAGCACCAAGAAACAATGTTACGTTTCCTCTTTGGAAAGAAAAACACAAAGAAAGGATAAACTGTTTCTGTTGGTTTCCGATTTAAAAAATTAACAAACAAGAAAGAAACAGCAGGACTGGCGAGGCTCCGAGGAGTGTCAGCCCATTGAACGGGCCAGGCACCAATCCCCGGCTCCCCAACCCAAAGTTAGGCTCTTGTACTTACACGTATTTGTGCGACAACACTCACCCTCTAGCTGCGGGGGGCAGTGGAAATAGAACATCGCCCAGAGTCACCGCTGCCGTCCAGAGCTGCGGAGCAAACCGCGAACCAGTCAGCCTTCCCGGAGAGACACAGGGAGGGATCCTGACCGAAACATCCAACTCCCCCCCAGCCACTTCCACTGAACCACTACAAAGCCCAGCAGCGACGTCTCATCCGACACCCTGAAGACAGGCAAATCATTAATAACGGGCAGGCAATTCAATGAAGCAGCTATGAAAACCTGGATCATGCCAGATCCTAATTCAAAATACAGTAGATCCAAAAAGAAGTCTGTAATACTGTGCATGCTGGTCTGGAGAGCTGAAAGTACAAAGGTCCATTGTTGGTATCCAGGATCAACTAAAGTTTTTTTTTTTAATGTTTTGATATGGTCGGACAGACCGACAGCCTATCTATCTATCTATCTATCTATCTATCTATCTATCGCATATATTCACTCCCACATCAACCAGTTCCATAAACAAGAAATACCTAGGGCTACGAATAGACTAATTTGTTACAAGTTATTTCCTTGTCTAAACTAGTCAGACTAAAGTAAATGTCAGCAAAAGATTTCATTGATCTAAAAAAAATTTCAGTGTTCATTTTCAAATGGTTCAATACACTGAAGGCTGGGTTCAATTTGGATAGTTTCCTTTTAAGTAAACAACTTAAAATGTATGTACAGCAACATCAAACATCCAGAACATGAATAATAACAATAACTACGGTAACAACGACGACGGCAATAAAGATAATAATTAGAATAATGATAATGATGATGGTGATGATGATGATGATGATGATGATAATAATAGTAATAATTCCATACCTAAAACGAAGAGAAGTAAAAATCCCCAGTACGATTTGTGGGGTTTTGGACTGGAATAAGATGCTGCGAGCTCTTGGCTGCAGAGACAGAAGGGCTCTGTGGAGTTCTGGAAGTGGCCAGATGTCTTTATATCTGTCTACAGCATGCTCTGCCTCTCAGCACTTGCCTTTATAATCTCACGCATAATTGGCCTTAATCTGATTATTTCCAGCGCTGTCTACAGTGAGTAACTTGGATAGGTCTATTGGGCCCTACAAATGGCCCACGTGGTGTGTGGAGGAGAGAAAAAAAACGTCATTTCTCAGCAAACATCAGGAATGTGAACAAAAAAATCCCATTATTTTATAAGCATTTCTGTTCCACAGCGCTCCCCAGACCCCGCGCGCGTCCCCTTTGGGTTGCCACCTTATTGATGGGAGTGGTGCTAGCGGGGGGGAGGGTTAGTGCTTTTGCCTGGCACGATCCCACAGCATCTTCTCGTGGATGTAGAGTCTGACAAAGCGCCTGTTAATTGCCCGCTGGATGGGTTTTTGGGGGGCCGCTTTGCACGCGTCTTGTCTTTCCAAGCGATCGTACCAAAGCAAAGTTTGATTTTGTTCACAGCAAGGGGTCCCTGGATTTATGCTCGCTTCCCGTCTGCAAATGATATGCGGCGGGACCCTTTGCAATTACTTTTAAAATGCATCCGAGACATAGGCTCAGCGGAGAGAGATGGCCCTTCCCTCAGCCCGGGTGAAAATTAGACTTTAAAGTACCCAGATGAAATTTTCAAGTCAGGGACGCGGGATTGGATCAAATCACATAAACTGCAAAAAAAGCAAGTATAATGGCGCATAATTGGTTCTGTAATAGCATTACACAAGGATAATAGCCTGTTATGGCCCCCTGCACATTAAGTGCTTCCCTGGCGTAAAGCCTTTATGATATTAAAGGGGGAATATAATGATATTTTGGTTATTAAATGCGTGTAATTAATTTATGCACCACTGAAAATAAAGTTGGTATTATGACCCACTCAAGATGCATCAGAAGATGTAAGTCAGACAACTGTTGATAAGTTCTGGTGTCTATGTTTCGTCTAGACTGCTGATTTTATTTTGGAACAATTGCTTCTCGGGCAGACTACACAAATTTAATATTTTATAAACATTGTAATGTTCTGTGCAGGAACAACAGTAAGGGAGAGCAAACCTACACAGGCATCCTGAGACATGGTGGGAGCTGAAAGGCGCATGTTTAAAACAAAGCAAAGGAGATGGGAACAAATGGTGTAGATGCAGAAATAGAGAGAAGTTTTAAAAGATGTCTTTAAGTAATTATTTCACAAATATGATCTCATTAAATAAGCAGTAATACGCCTTTGAAAACGTGTCTGACATATCTGTGTTTCAAACTACGCATAGATTTGGACATTTCTCTAATGCACACCCACACTCAGAGTCTGTTTCAGACTTGTAAACTGGTACGTGTAAAGCAGGACTGAAATTAACTGGACGTGGGACCCAAAGAGCTGAAAACACCTACCTACCTACCTACTTATCTCAATCACGATATATTCAAAAGCCTTCAGTACTTGTGTTATCTAAAGCTTTCAGGGGCTCACTCTGTGACAACAGATACTGTTATTGACTTACCATCCAGGCAAATCTACAGGAAATTGAACTATGAATTTGAGCTGGCTTTACGGGACCATGAGAGAGCAACTCCTGCAGTGTTCTCGCTCAGGCCTTCTCAAAATAGCAGCGCAGGATCTGGTCCGGTTAGCCCTCAAAATAGAAGGAAAAGGAAGAGGAAAGGAGAGGACAACAAAACCCAGAGGTAAAATCTGAATCGGCTCCTATATCCACGGTTCTAAAATCCAACAGCAAAGCTAGCACTCTAAGTCCCTTTGCAAGGAGACAGATGTGTTTTTTCCTTTCTCTCTGACGTGGGAGAGAGAGAGAGAGAGAGAGAGTGTGTTTTGTCAAAAGATCCCCTAATAAAATAATAATAACTTCATTATGGCGCTCTCAGGCCTTGCTCTTGTCAAGGGATGCTCTGTTCTTTTGGCTCCAAGACTCACTTTCCCCAGCAGTTTAAGTCTGCAAGTTCAGCGTATTCCAGGAGGCGAGAGAGGCTCAAATGGAGCAAGGGTAAGTGCTCCAAGTTGTCTTTCCTTTTACAATAGGAACCGAAGGATCTCTCACTACGGTCCCCCTTGCCTGACCGGGAGAGCCTGAATTTTCTCCAAGCAGCAGCAGCAGCTGCAAAACAAGGAGATAACGAAGCAATATATAACTCTCCTCCCCCCCTCCCCCCGGCCCTGGCCTGTTCGGTGCCTGTTTAATTTTAATGCACAAAAGGTAGAGTTGGCTTAATTAAAAGTTATCCGATTGGAGTCTTTTTCTCCAGTGGTCAAAGTCATAAAGTAGACGTAATTGGAACGATTTATTCAGCACCTGGGACAGTGCCTCTGCTCTGCTGCCCCGCGCCCCCACCCCACCCCTGCCTTCTCCCTGTTCACATGCTCTCACTGCCTGTCCGGGAGAGCCCTTGCGAAGGTTTTTCTGTAGGTCTCAGTAACTTGGCATCACAGACTGGACGTTTCCGTCCGCAGCTGGTGCGCGGAGTATAGGCAGGAAGTTGCTTCGCAGTAGGGGAGCGTATGGCCACTCCAATTTCGGGGCTGGCCACAGTCCACCGACATCAAAGGCCATCGTTCAGCTGCAAATCGCTAGGAATGAAGCTACCTGCCTGGCTGAGCTGAAACCCCGCAGCGCTTCTCCTTGTTAGGGAAGTCACTGAGCTGCACGCACACACGTGCGAACCGGCGCGGAGACTCGTGCCTTCGTGTTTGCCTGTTTTAGCCAAACTGCTTTCTTTCAGTCGCGCAGTCGTGGGCTGCCTTTTCTTGTGTAGCTTGTGTGCGGTTCTTAAGGCAATGTCCTGGGCATCCCCATAGGCACGGGCACACTCAGCATTGTCGTCTCAAGTTGCCCCGTGATAGACTTGATCTTTACAATAACACCTCGAGGCTGATTGAACCGACTGAACAAAACCACCTGGGACAAAAACATTTCCCCCGAGAGCTTGAAGTCTCGCTGCTTGTTTGCAGAACTCCAGCAAGTCGGAGTGATCAAAGTTGGAAGCGAGTCCTTGTCTCTGGCTGCCACAAACACTTGCTTTCTGAATGCTACTCAGTACCTGAGCACAAAAAGAGCTAGCAGCTAAAAGGTTATTTTACCTTAATTCATGTGCAGTAAAATGTATTTTCCAATTAACCAAATTTGCCGATTTGTCCCGCTTGGACACTCTTATAATTTATAATGTAAAAGTGTTCTTTCTTTATCTAAAGACCAAGGTGACTGCTTTTAATTTTCTGTAACCTCTTTACACTTGATGTTCACCAGACTCATAATGTTAATTGGCTTCATATACGGATCATCAGTTTAATGAAGGAATAAATCCTATGTTGCTTTATGTCCCTCTGTTTTAACAGTGATTGCTTTAATGAAGAATGTGACGTGTTCAAAATCAAAGCTGCAGGAGACATTAGAGGGTTTTTTATTATGACTGAAATGCTTATTTAAAGCTAAAACCCTGAGGATGCCATATTTTAAAAGCTTTTATTTAAATATATTTCCCGTGGAAAATACTACACGGTTCTCCAGCAAAGAAAACTTCCCGTGGTTTCCTTTCTGCAGTAATCAGAGACTAAGGATAACACATGTTTATAATATAAATATTATTGATAGTTTATTAGCATTATTTCTAGTCTGATTTTATAAGGTTTCAGTCTTCACTCAGTCTCTAAGTGAAAGTTCTGGTTACCTCAAAGGAGATTTTGCTTAGGTAAGAATTACTCACTGGTAGTAAATATGGATCTCTTTGTTATCCTATTACTGCTTCATTGTTCAGATTTAGATCCAAGAAAATATCAAGAAACCACATTCTCTGTTCACATATAACTTCTCCACTTGCTTTAGCCCACCTCTCCCAAATGAAGTGTTCAGAATTTGGGTGCTCAGGTAAATTATAATGTACCATGGACTAATAAGAGTGTTTGCAAATTGGAAGCAGACCTTGGAAAGCAGCAATTAGGCCAGGCAGTATGTTACTGAGACAAACTGTAGCAGCTGTAAAATGTACAAAGCCAGTGTGCCCTGGTAATATAACCATTTAAGTTCTTGGCCTTCCTTACTAGGATA